CGTGTCTCGCGAATTTCCAATATGCTCATCGGGAATAGCCGGAAACAGTTTTCTGATGAATTACGTTTTTCTGCAGTGCCCACGGTGTAAACACTTGACATCCTTCCTGAAGAGCGAGATGAATGGCTGATTGTCCAATGCCGCCAGTACCAGAGTGGATAAGTATTTTATTACCCTTCTTCATTTTTCCAAAATGATATAAGGCATAATAATTCGTGCTGTAAATGCACGGCACTGTGGCCGCCTCTTCAAATGTCCATGAATCGGGTATATTCCAACATAATTCTTTATCTCGTACAACGACATTCGCTATGCACCTAAGAACATAACAATATTATTATTAATAAATAAATTAAATTATTGTAAGACAATAACACCAAATTTATTAATCACAAATATCCCCTACAATAAATTAAACACATATACATATACTATATAGTTACGTACTTATTGTCACAAAGTCCCATAACTCGCTGACCATTGTCATCATAACCAACATATTCAAATCCAAGACTCATGCTTTGTAATCGTTTAGACATTCCGATATCCGACGTTAATTTCCCAGTTGCTAGCATTACATCTTTGAAATTGATAGACGAATAAATCACACGTACTATATCTTTGCCATCAGAATCGATTGATATATCGTTTTCCATCCAACAAAAAGAACTTAAATCGCCTCGAACCTGTAGAAAAATATTTGTTAAACATATTTGTAATAAATATATTTGTTAGATAAAACACAAAATTTTTTAAACAAATTTTTTAAAATATTTGAAACAAAATAATTTGCAATATTACTGTATTAATAGCACATTAAAAATAATTTAAATTTTTACAAATGATTTAATATACCGTTTGACAGACATAGGCTGTAGTTACGTATTCTACTTCTGGATGCGGTAATCGCAAATGTCGGTAAGATCCCCAAATTTTATTAGGTCGCAAAACGTTAACAGTCATATCTTTTTGTAATTGTTCTATATAGAATGGATCTTGTAGAGAAAATTTAGGAGCATGCTTGTCCTGAATAAGCACACCTCTAACCAGCTGTCCACCAGGCTCTTTTCTCAAGCAGTTAAGAAAACCCAATAAACCGCATTCAAAGTCCGTTTCTCCAACAATTACAATTCTGCTATTGCTATCGTGTTTCTTCTCGTCGTCTACAAGTTGCTTCAAATCTTCGAGCCAATTGAAATTATTATTATTGATATAGACGACAATTGTTTTTGCTATTATAACCTTTTTCTTCAATAGTATAATTATTTCTTTATCCGTACGCTTTTTCAGAATAACATTTAATGCATAGTCACTCAAATATTTTTCATATTTATTTAGATTGCATTTCTCGCGTGTTAAGAGATAACCGCCATCCCTCAAAAGAGGCAAAAGTTTTTCTAATGAATTCTGATGTTTCGTCAAAAGATTAAATCCTGTAGCTATCAAAGCTTTGTCGCCTACAAATGGTTCGTTTAAATCTGCGACCAAAACGTTTGAAGAAAGTTCTTCTGGTGTGAAACGATTCGGTGATGTTAGTATAGCAACATTTGCTTGTATTAAAGGAATATCAGCAAGAGCTTCAATCAGTAACGTTGATGATAGATCTTCTACCATTACATCATCTGCATCTTCCACTAGCTCTATGGCTGTTGCTTTAATGATCTGATGATCCTCTAGCGCCAGTTGCGTCGATATTCGAATTGCTTCATTTAACAAAATATCGGCGCAATCCTGGTGAGTTATAAATTTATGTTCTTCAATAACGGGATCTCCGATTGGTTTTCGGCGAGAAATTAAGGTAGCTTTTAGGCCATGTATTTCTATTCCACCTGATTTAATTACGTCCATTTCTTTATATAAACGTATTGGCATTTCTGCAATAAGGCAATTTAGAAAATATTACATTTTAAATAATAATGTTTTCAATATTTATTTAATTGTATGTAAGATATTTACGTTTATCTTTTTCGGATGTCATGTCCCGCAATTTTGATGCGTGAAGTGCAGGATTAATTACCAATTTTTCAATACTTGTTGGAATATATAAGTCTCTGGTATCTTTTCCAATTATAGACATCTGCAGCATGTTGTCCATGAATGTCACCCAATTACCTGTCCAAGTGATGTGTCCTTTGCTGCCTGAGATTGATGCGCTATATAAGCCACAAAATGCACCACTGTATTGGTAACCGCGTAGCCTTAATCCTTGTAAATGTCTCGAGAAGTCATATGTTCTTCCTCGTCAGTATCCACCGACAACAGATCATTCGGCACCATTTCTTGTTCGGCATTTGATACAGCGTGTACTTCACCTGTTACAACAACGCTGTCTTCTTCGGTGACTTCAAATTTGCCGCTTTCTACAATAATTTTGCATGGAATGTTACATGTTGCTGTAATATTATTTAAAGTTTTTTAGAACAAAAAAAATTTTATACATACCTCTCTGTATCACAATTGTCAAATTAACAGAGCCATCGTTTGATAAATGAGTAGCCCGAATAAATTTTATATTTTGAAATACTATTGGTACTGATGTGTATATTTTATCCATTATCATTCCAATTGTTTCCCAAACAAGCACTAGATAGCCTGTCGCAGGTAGCAAATTTCTTCCGTCAATGACGTGACCGGTCATAAAGCTATAATCTTCGTCATCCACCTTAATTTCTATTTGTCTTTCTTTGGATTTGATGGTCTTTTGCTTTTGATAATTATTTACAAACCAATCTTCAGAATGGTCCCATCTAATAATATTAAAATGTTTGTTTACACAATTATATGTTTATTTTCATATGCAACAGGTTAATTTTAAAAATATATTGTACCTAATGAATGGAGAGATCATAGGTGTGCCTCGGCTAACTGGAAAAATTACCGATGGATACAAATTAGCGATCCGTGGCTGGAGGCCATAGTTATAGAGTTCTCCAATCCCTTGCAATAGTAAATTGATAGCATTTGATTCATTTCGCTTAGTCGGTACAATGTTCGTTATTTTTGAATGTATCGATTCTTTCAAAATGTCCTGTAAAATGCTATTTGGTGCAATTTCGATAATTACAGCGTTATCTGGGATCTTACGCGTTGCTTGTTCAAAAAGAACAGTGTTTAATATACTGTGCGTATGGTAGCTTGCTGAGCACAATTTTAACGTTGGATTGGACCATTCATTACAAGGTACGGAAGTGCTGATCCATTTGGGACTCCTTTCTTTCGGCTGTGAAATTATTTCGATCAAACTTGTAAAAAACTGCGATTTTAGAGAAGCGAGGTAACGACTGTGATGCGGTATGTTGTTGCAGGAGATTGCTTTCACGTCAATGTTGTTCTTCTGATAATAAAAAAATAATTAATATATATTAATAAATGCGAAAATTGAATATTAAAAATTAAATTATTATTCGACTATTAAGAAAAACATTACGTACATTACGTATTATTAAAGAAAAATCAATAATTTATAGAAAGTAAAAAATCAACATACTTGCAATTTTCGCAAAAATTTTTGCATGGATTTAGCGGGGCCAGTTACAATATTGTTGTTATGGTTGTTTCTGCATATTATTTCAATATCCGCTGGACATATACCTTTAAGAGATTTGTAATCCAAATTGACAACTGCGGTAGAGCTATGAACTTGTTTTTCTTTCACACATGCTAAACCAATAAAGTACGCTGACAGAATAGTTTGTTCCATAGTGAGACACCCGTCTGCGTATGCACAACCAAGTTCACCAGCAAAGTGACCAATAATGTAATCCGGAATAATATCTATAGATGTTAAGAGATCTACTAAGCCAATCTATAAAATTAATAAACAATTTTATCATTAAATATATTGCATTAAACATAATAATTATTATTAACATATTTTGTAATAAAGTAAATGTAATAAAAAAAAAAGATATTAATAAACTCAAATTTGCGTCAATGAGTATATACAATATACCAATATGCTGTTTCGAAGTATAATACCTGAATGGCGATGATACCAACAAATGTTTGTAAAGTGCTTTTCTTTAATTTTACATCCATTTCCGTCAAAATATTTGTGATATTTATATTATACGGTTTTAAAATAGCATCGCACATTTTTACAGCAGTCGCAAATGCTTGAAAATTTAACAACTTTTTACCTGATAAAATTAGAAAATTTGTGTATTATTTTATTATTCAATTTGTACATATAAAAAATGTTGAATGTTGCATACATACCCATTTCTGGCCATTGCGATTCTGCGAAGGCAGAGAAAATGAAGCAAATAGGTCGTTTTATACTTTTACAACTTTGAATTTTTTGTATGGAATCTTTTTGCCGAGAATCCAATATAATGTATCCTCTCCATGAATGACCATCTATGTCGTCTGTGTGAATGTCGTGTAGTAAACGAACATATTCTACATCTATGGGATGATTAGCAATCTACAAAATAAATGTTTTAAAAATGTATGTACTATACGTAATGTAATGTTCTTTGCGTTTAGAAGTGATATTAATGTTGTTGCTGAAATAGTTACATCATCTAAAAACAATTTCACTGATTTTTCCGTGCGTCCAGACAATACCACGAGTCTTGGTAAATCATCAGTAGGTGTTCCATTATTAATCTTTTCCTTGACATTCCATTGTAATAACATGTGAGCATTGGCTCCACCGAAACCGAAAGAATTTATGCCTATGTAACCATTTTTAAGCGGCATTGCTTCTGTGATGACACGAATGCTTCCATCCATTAAGGCGTCTATATCGTTCCGCGGTGATGTAAAATTAATGTTTGGCGGTACAAAACCGGTTTCAAATGCTATTATCACCTATAAAAATTAATAAATTTTGATATATATATATATAAATTTGAATTAATTATAGTACTTGATTTTTTGTTGTTGTTAGACAGTTAAATGATTAATGACACGGTATGTAATATTTGCTATACTAAAACGCTTCGGCATAAGAATTTTTGTGTCTATTTGTATCTAAATGATAATCTTTCTTGACCAAATAAAGTATTTATAATTTTTATTTTATTGATGAAATTACTAATTATTATATTTAAATAAAAAGATTACCACTATTTAATATTTTTTTATCACTGAAGAAAATGTTTTGCTGATGTATGTAGATTTCTAGGTGTCACAACAAAAATGTTTTTTGTATCTGCTATTTTTTGTACCTGCTAAAATATTGTTTGTCACATCGACAATTTATAACAACAACATTTTAGCAGTATCTTCTAGAAAATTTAGATTTTATTGTCAAATAATAATAATTGCATTGAGTAAATGAGCTTTGATACTGTAGCTAGAACGAGTTATATTTCTATTTGAGCAACGTTAGTAGTCCTTATTGGAAATATTTCTTTCTGTCTCTAAAATGTTATATAAAAATATATAAGGGTCATATTACATAAAAGAATTATTTTGATAATTTGTTTCTTTTCTCTCAATTTGTTTGTTATTCTAAACTGTTTGTATGTATGTTAAGTTAAAATAATTTCTTAAATAAATTGTTTTACCTTAGCGATTTGTGTGATACCGCTGGCAGGTTCTGCGTGCCCAAGGTTGGATTTTACGGATCCCACCATCAATGGGGTTTTTCTATTTTGACACAGAACGTTACGAATAGCATTAATTTCTTCGGGGTCGCCGACTCTAGTTGCAGTACCGTGTGCTTCGATGTAATCCAAGTCAGATGGTGATACTTTGCACTCATTGTAAAACTCTGTTAATAAGGCACTTTGCATATGTGTCGATGGATATGTTATTCCTTCTTCTTTGTAACCATCGTTATTGAGTTTAATCTGCTTACATATAGCATAAATTCTTTTTGCATTTTTAGCTTTTTGAAGATATATTACCGACACGGTTTCGGAACGCGAATAACCGCTTGCCGCAGTATCAAATGGCCTACAATATCCATCGGAAGATAAAACACCTAAAATTATGTACGGTATTCTTTCAATATAGTATATCAGATTAGCTTGTATTATAAGATCAAGTAATTTGACTGAAAATAATACCAAGTCGAAAGAATTGCATA